ATTGTTGTATGCGTTGTATGACTGTGTGCATTGTATGTATGATTGTATGTATGGTATGATCGTATGCAATTATATGATTGTATGCATTGTATGTATTGTATGATTGTATGATTGTATGATTGTATGCATTGTATGTATTGTATGACGTATTGTAAGCCCCGGGGCGGGTCTCGTGCGTAGTCACCTCCTGTGGTGAGACCTGGTAATTGATATCGTTTTACAAACATTACAGTTTGTAAAATGTCACCCAGCTAAATTGTAAAACGATGTAAGATAAATTTTACAGTTTGTAGAACGATATCAAGCTAAGAACTACGCAACCTACAGTTCAGTTTAGATCTAAATTGAATTGTAGGGACAATTAGTTGATAAGTAAAATATTAGACCCCTCAGCAGGGCACCGTGGGACGACGAGGGATCTCGCAGGGACTCGATTAATCCCGAAATTGTATTTTGAATATTTCTTATTACAATAGGAAGTATGCACGTTAGTAATATATCATGACGCATGTACGTAAAAATGTACATGTTGTCTTAGAAATTCACAACACACACATAAACCTGACAATTGTTGATTTATATTTTTACCTGAGAACTTTTGGATGATACTTCTTTCTAGATGATTCATCTGGATAATATTTTCTTCTTTACAGATGAGATGTGCTCCGCCATGTTACCCGGTTAAAAATCGATCGTGAGAAATATCGATTAGGTTCGAGAATCGTAGGAAGTATATTGCGTTTTTCACCGTTGGAGCGCTGTAATCACGCGTTTCGCAGGAAATGATAACTTGGAATAAAAAATAAAAAGCTCTGATCTAAATCGAATACATCAAATTCATGAGAAATTCTTTTAAAAAAAAGAAAAAAAAAAATCGAGAATATTCACTCATTTCATAAAAAATTGTCAATACTTAAACTGCGACATGTGAATTTTTATTATACTACGCGGAGAATATATCTTTTTAGCCATTAAATACGTACATCCACAATCAATTATTATTGAATTTAATATTTGAATTGTTAAGAATTACGCAATATGAGATCAAAGAATTGACAAATGAGTAAAAAATATTACAAGTAGTAACAGGATATAGTAATATATAATAAAAAAATAGTCATATCACAAAGACG